CCCGCCCGCCGCCCGAGCTCCTCCTGCCTCGGCCTTGCCAGGCTGGGGAGCGGACAGAGGTCACCGAGCGGCGGTGAGGGTCAGCCCCCGACGGAGGAGGAGTCTCCCGTGGAGGCTGCGCTGGAGGGGCTCTGCGAGCCTCCGCTGGATCCTTTCCCCCACGCTGGCGGGCCCTGGGGGCGCCGAGGGGCGCCGGGGTCACTCGCAGGCCAGCTTCCCGTCGAAACTGGAGAGGGCGATGGCGAAGGCCTGCAGGGCGCACAGCGGGTACCGGTAGTCTAGGGTGAAGGCGTCCTCCGCCACGCGGCCGAACTGCAGCACGATATAGTCGGCTATGGACACAAGACGGGTGGGGGGCCCGACACCTCCTTGGACCCCCATCCTGGCAGACAACGCCCTCACCTCGGGAGAAGGCTCTCCCTTGCTTCGGGGCCCCTACCCTCAGCCACCATCTCAGTTACTCAACACCCACCCCTTCTTCCTATCGCACCCCACACCCACATGCAGCTCTATGATCAGTCACGCTGTAAGCCCCTGAGGGCAGGGACCCTGACTTAGCCGTTGCCATGCCTACAGCAGGCACTTAACCAAGTATAGGACCCTGTCAAATTCACCCAAGCCCAGAACCCTTCCTTCCCAACTTCTCTGTTGTCTTCTGGCCCCATCTTTCCTTGCCACCCTCAGTCCCCAAGTCCACCCTAAACCCCAGGCTCAATCCTGGACTAGCCCCCTGGTTTCCTTCCTCTGCCAGTGGCCTCGCTCTGTGCCTATCCCGTCTCTGATCCAGGTTCCCAGCCCCAATCTCAACACCTCCCCCAGCATCTATGGGGACAGGAAGTTGCTAAAAATACCCCCAAACTCAGGCAGACCAGGCTCCACCGGAAACATGATCTGGAGAGCAATCCCAAGGCCACGGGACAGGTGACACTGGGAGCACATCCCAAGATGGAATGGGATACAGGGGAGACTAACCCTGTGAACCCAGAGTCCTTTGGGAAACACCTACCGCCAAATTTCCTCACCCTAGTGGGACCTCTCCCTCAGGCTAGTAACAGGGACATTTTTCCTTGTGTTCAGGGTACGTCTTTTTCGTTTTTTTGAGTCAGAGGCTCACTCTGTCACCCAGGCTGGAGCACAGTGGCATGCACTGGGACTATAGGTGTGCATCACCATGTCAGGCTAATTTTTTATTTTTTGTGGAGACAAGGTCTTGCTGTGTTGCCCAGGCTGGTCTCAAACTCCTGAGCTCCAGCGATCCTCCTGCCTTAGCCTGCCAAGGTGCTGGAATCACAGGCGTGAGCCACTTCACCTGGCCAGCTTTCCCCAACTCTTCGAAGGTAGTCCTTGGGCCTCACTTTAGAGAAGATATAGTGTAGGCCCTCAAAAATGCTTAATTAATATTCCCTGCCCCTAAAAACAACCGTCTTGAAGAGGTTAAGAGTATGGCCACCGGAGCCAGACTTCCAGAGTTCGAATCCCAGCTCTACCATTTCCTAACTGTGTGACCATGGGCAAGTTACTCAACCTCTCTGTGTCTCAAGTTTTCTTGTCTACCAGGTAGGGATAATAATAGTACCTTCCCTACAAGGATATTGAAGAGATTTAGTAAGTCAATATCTGTAAAATCCTGAGAACAGCCTGACACATAGAAGGCACTGTGTACATGTTGTGAAATAAATTTTTTTTTTTTTTTTTGAGTTGGAGTCTCACTCCATCACCCAGACTGGAGTGCAGTGACCGCTCCCGGCCACCACAGCCTCGACCTGCTGGGCTCCAGCGATCCTTCCGCCTCAGCCTTCCAAGTAGCTGGAACTACAGGCGCGCACTACCACGCCCGGCTAATTTTTTATGTATTGTAGAGATGAGGTCTTGCCAAGTTGCCCAGGCGGGTCTCGAACCCGCGGGCTCAGGCCACCCACTCACCTCAGCCTCCCAAAGCGCGGGATTACAGGTTGAGCCACCGAGCCCAGCTGTGAAATAAGTTTTGAGGGCCAGCCTAACTGCCTGGAGGAGCGGAGAGACTTGAAGCAAGGAGCTCCCCTCTCTGAGCCTCCGCACCCTCTTTGACCACAGAGAGGCTGGACTGTCAGTGGTCTTCAGATTCCAACCGACCTTCAGACCTTTTCCTTCAACACAATCGTACCCAGAAGGCCCCAGTATGTAACCCACTGCTCTGGTCAACCCTGGAATGGGAACCCGGAACAATGAGCCCTAAGGCACCGGCTTAGAATATCTGAGGCTCCTGGGACCACAGTGTCAGCACCCACAGAGGAGACAGTGACCTTGCCAATGTTCCAGTTCTGGGGAGAAAGGCTAGGACCAGGCTAGTGTTTGCAGGGAGGAGGTGAGGGGAGGCCTGAGCGAGGGTCGGGGTCCTGAGAGCCTGGGCCCTCAGATACTCACGGTCATCGGCGTGGACAATCTGGAAGTTCTTGACTGAGGCCTGGGTGACCCGGCCTTGGAAGTTGAGGGTGTAGGAGCCGCTTTCGTCGTTCCAGACAGGCGGTTTGTTGTGCAGCTCGATGAGGCTCTCCAGTGTCTTGTTCTGCCAGCGTACCAGCAGGCCATCGCTGGCCTGGGGGGCCCGGGAGGAGTGGATAGGGAGAGGATGGTTAGAAGTGGCCAGCAGCTGCCCAAAGAAGGGGCCCGGGCACCTGTGCATGCCCTTGCGTGTGTGTGTGTGTGTGTGTGTGTGTGTGTGTGTGTGTGTGTGTGTGTGTGTG